ACATCTGAAGCTGGTCCTCATATACTGCTGGGATGGCTACTGAGGCATGGGCATGAGTATGGCATACGGTAAATGAGGTGGAGATGGTGAAACTGCAGTGGCATAGTGTTAAGGGAAGGGTTGGAAAGTTCAGGAGGTGTGAATGTTAGAGTGGATTCATCATGTGAGACTGAAGAACCGCCTAGCTACGTTCCCCAGGAGGACACCGCCTTCACTAGGGCAATAAAGAATGCACTGGGAAGGGGTGTACCAGCACCCACAAAAAGCTCAGTGATGGCTGCCCACTACAGGCAGGGGTTGACAGTAGGAAACACTGGCATGGAACTGTACATGCTGTTGTCAGTGGGGATGGTGGGATTCTAGAATGGCAGAGGCCATGAATTATTACTTAAATGCCACAGGTGAGATAGACAAGATAGAATGCAACGTAAGGCTGGAGTGGAAATCGGGGTACATTGTAGATCATGGAGTAGTGAGTGACAGCTGGCTAGAGTGTTGTTTGACTTGCAGAACCAAAAAAAAAAAAAAAATAGAAAAGAGGCAAGCTGGTGAACAGAGGCTGGTGTAGCCTGTCACAATGAGAAAACCATGGTCCCAGATCTAAGTTAATTTACAAATCCAGTGCACAGTGAGCCGGAGGCCAGCTCTCCTTGAGGAAAAGTCCTGCTGCCACAAATGTATATGAGCTACAGACCCAGAGTTTTTAAGGACTATTGGATAAAAAGTCTGAGATAAAAAGATAAAAAGCTGAAATAGCTACCAGGGAACCCTAAATGCTATTATCACCCTATGTATGAATGGGGGGCCTTTGGAAACCAGGTGATAATTGGAGTTCTGGCCAAAGTCTGTCTCACAATGGGCCCTGCCTTGGGGTTCTTTCCTCAATCTCCAAATATATATTTGGGATTAATATATTTAGACCCCTGACCTGTGGAGTAAGAGCCATTAGGGGAGGAAGACCTGCATGGAAACCTTTGAAACTGTACCCCCTCCCTGGCCATGCTAGTAAATGATGAGCAACCACTTGAGGAAACAAACCCATCAGTGTCACCATCAAAAACTTGAAAGGAGACACGGCTTATGGGTGTGATCATTACCCTGTTTAATTTACCTTATCCGTCAGACTCCTAAAGAGAGCAGATAGATAGTAGAGGGTGATGGATTGCTTGCTGTTCATTTGTTGTGGCTGCCAGCTGAACGTGGTATCTTTTCTGGAAGCCTCTGGCATTGATATGCAGCTATTGCTTTGGAAAGTGCATTCTTCTCAATTTCCATCAGAAAGGGGGATCAAATGCAGTTCACATTCCTCTGGGATGGACAGTGTTTCTCCTTTACTCTATTGCCTCTAGGCAATGTTTAATCTCCTGCTGTATGTCACAGTATAGTCTAAAAGGGCCTCGATCATCTTGACATTCTGCAGAACATCATGCTAGTCCACTATAATGTGATAACATACTGGGTAGATTTGGCGTCAGAAAACGGCAAGTACTCCAGTTGCCCTAGTAAGACTAAGCGTGCCAGAAAGTGGGTGATAAACTTCATGAAGAAGCAGGGGCTTGCCACACTGATCAATTATTTAAAAGATCAATGATGTGGGGCATGCCTACATACTCCTTCTATGATAAAGGATAACTTGTTGTACCTTCTACCCCTCAGCACTGAAACAGAGGCACAGGGTTTAGTAGGCCTCTCTGGGTTTTGGAAGCATATATATTGTGCTTGGTATATTCCTCCAACCCATTTATCAGGGTTGCCAGTTTCAAGTGATCCCACACACGAAAGAAGATCCAGTTTCAGGCTTCTATGCAAACTGTGTTGCTACTTTGGCTGTGTATGTGGCAGTTAAGAATACTCTGTGGAGGGGGCCGGCCCCATGGCCGAGTGGTTGAGTTCGCGTGCTCTGCCGTGGCAGCCCAAGGTTTCGCTGGTTCGGATCCTGGGTGTGGACGTGGCACCGCTCATCAGGCCACGCTGAGGCGGCGTCCCACGTGCCACAACTAGAAGGACCCACAACTAAAATATACAACTGTGTACTGGAGGGATTTGGGGAGAAAAAGCAGAAAGAAAGAAAAAATACTCTGTGGAGTCTCTGGCAATCCCAGTAGAAGGTTATAGCACAGCCCCATAGGGTCTGGAGTGAGGCCGTGCTTTCTGCAACCGAGAACTAACAACTCAGGCTCTTGGCATCCTAACGGCTCTAGCAGAAACTGAACACCTGATTATGGGACACAAAGGGACCTAGCAAATGGAGCTCTCTCCTCAGGAGCTGGGCATTGTCAGTTCCACAGAGTCATAAATTCATAGGGCACAACAGTGCTTCATCCTTATTGGAACTGACATCTACTCAGGATGTGGGTTTGCCTTTCCTGCCTGCAGTGTATCCTCCAATACAATCATGCTATGACACAGAGAATATCTTCCATTGTCATACGATCTCATATAACATTGCCTCTAGGACCACTTTCCTGGCAAAGGCAGTGGGGGAATGGGCACCTGACCATGGGATCTACTTATCTTACTATTGTGGGGGACTGGAATTGGCCACCCCAAGATATGTCTCTTTGGCGTGAGGATTATTTTGGGCTGCTTACTTTTAAAAACTGCAGACAGGAAAGAAACTCTGAAAAGCAGAATTTACTTACCCTTTGTTAAGTGACATTTACATTTGTAAAGGAAATCTCCATCTGTAAAGGTGTCTCCCTCTCTGTACCAGGAAGAAGGGGGGATGACCTTATCTCTGGAAACTCTTAAACAATTTGGAAGGCAAGGACTTAAATCTGCATAATAACTTTACCCTTGTTTACTGTGCTTTTCTGGTAATCTCCCATAACTGACTCTCCCCACCTCCAACATCCTCCTTTGTCATTACCTGAGGATGGTATTTAAGGTGAGAACTTCAGCCATTTTGGTGAGTTGCTCAGTTTGCCTGAGCCTCTCCCATGTATACATGTTGTAAAGCTTTGTGTAATTTTCTCCTGTTATTCTGTCTCATGTGAATTTAATTCATTTTCCGGCCAGAAGGACCCAGAGTGGGTAGAGGAAATGTCTTCCTCCCCTGCACTATATACCTCAACACCAAAGCAGCCAGCAAATATAGAAGAACAGAGTGGCTCAACTAAGGCACCAGCTATAGGACAGTACCCTGTAGAGTTGAGGTGCTGTCCTCTAGGATGCTTTAACAATGACTGATAGATAAGTGTCCCCTATTGTCAAAATATACAGGTTTGGGGACCAATGGGTAGAAGTAGGATTGCCTTCTCTCACCATCACAATCAGCAACCCACTTGAAGAATTTCTCTTTCCTACAACGTAGGGTCGGCTAGATTAGAGGTTTTGGTTCTTGGGGTCAGGGCGATGCTTTCACCAAGGGACCCAGTGAGGGTCCAGTGAGTTGGAATCTATGACTATCACATGGTCACTTTGGGATCTCTGTGCCAGTGGACAAGCAAGCAAAGAAAGGAGCTATTATGCTGGTGGAGATTATTGACCCTGACTATCATACGGAGTTAAAGCGGAGTATGTCTGGAACCCAAGAGGTTCACTTGAGTGTCACTTTTGGGCCTCATGATAATGGTGAACAGGCAATCGCAGCAACCATGGCCTGAGAAAGAAAAGGCAACTAAAGGCTTGAATTCTTTGATGATCATGGTCTGAGTCATACTACCCAATCTAGAGCAGCTAACCTGCTGGCCAAAGGTGAGGGAAATTTAGAATGTGTGTCGGAGGAGGGAGGGATGAGCCCACATACAGCCTCAGGACCAGCTGCAGTAATGACTGTAGATTAGCCATTTTCAAAGTGTGGTCTCTGACCAGCAGCATCAGCATCACCTGGGAACTTGGTAGAAATGCAGATTCTTGGGCCCCACCCCAGATGTACTGAATCAAAAACTCAGTTTGGTTTAACAAGCCCTCCAGGTGATTCTGATGCACTAGAACTTGAAAACGAATCCTGCTGCATTAAGTCTTTCCAGGTCCCAACCCATAGAAGGAGATGACTGCAATAGATTGGATTTAACAGCCAGCAAATCTGAGTAGACCCTGGGGTGGGGGTGGGAGTGGGCTGTGCACCACTTCAGATCCTTTTAGCCACATTTCTTCCTCCAGCCCTGAGGCAGTGACCATTTCCATGCAAGTTTGGGCAGCTTCATGCAGGTCCTACTTGACTGCATCTTATCTCAGGCAAATGCTGTGTACCTCTTACTTCTCGCTCCAGGGCTTCTCTGACACTGAGGCATGGGAAGCACAGGGTACCCATTTGGCACTCACACTGCATAATCTTGAAGGACAGGGCAGGTGACACTGTGAGGCCACTCTTAACCAATGGTGAACAGGAGCTGATGGATAAATGTTTTTCCCTTTGTCCCCTGGGCAGACACCTGAGATGTGTTTCATAAGTCTCCTCAGGAGATCCCACAGGACTAAGTGCCAGTCACCTGTAGCACTGGCCAACTGGTAGTGGCTTTCCCTGTTTCTCTCCCCTGCCCTTCACTCCTGCTCCCAAGGACCACTTCCCCATAAGCTACTCTATAGGGAGCCTTTGTCTTAGGCTCTCTTTGGGAGGAAGCTAGTCTAAAATCCTTAGCTGCCTGTAATGATCTTGGCCTGCTTTTCAAGAGTCACTCTTGCTTCTCATTCAGATCTCAGATTGTCATCTACTCAAAGTGGCCTTGTCTAATGATCTAATGCAAAGTAGCAAGACTCTAATATCAGATCACCCTATCTGAACTCTCTGCATAGCACCTATCACTATCTAATATTTTTCTTAAAAAATATTTTCTTGTGTCAGAGCCTTTGTCCAGTCTTAGGATATCCTACTCAGGAAAGGAAGGACCCGGCCTATTTCATTCTTTGCTCTTTCCCTGGCACCTTAAAAAGTGCCTGGCACATAGTAGGCACTGCATAGATATTTCTTGATTAAACGGATGAATGCTAGAGTCTGTGAACGGGATAGCAAATCAAGCCAGAATCTGAGCTAACAGACACCTTTGGGGAAAAAATGCATATCTTAAATTAAAATTTATTTAAAAATTACAAAAATGTCTCCACCCAAGTTGTCCTTGAAAAAGTTTAAAAGCAGCAACAATGATCTTGGTTAATTACCAGCAACCTAATGCAATTTATAAAATTGAACAAAATTTAGATGTGTGTCTTATGCCTCTGTAGACACGAGACCCTTTCTTTAGGTCCCTTTCTTTAGGGTCTGGAAGTATCATTATTGGGACACTTTCCAAAGCCTTTTTCCTTTGGACTCTGTGTAAAACGATTCGATAGACCCCTGTGATGGAGCTTCGGGCATCTCTCCCTTGGTTATTCCGAATATGCTCTTCTGTAATACCCAAATGTTCTAAAGTGCTTTTGACCTCATTTTCTTCTTCTTTGAGGGTGCTGGTTTCTGACAAGTGTTTGGGATCTAGCTGGAAAGGTTCCAAAGGAGTGGGATACGGCACCCCTTGCATCCATTCATTGTTCATGATGGAGTCGATCCCGTACCTCTCGGTGGGCGTGGGCTGCAGGACGCCCCGGATGAGGCGGAGGCAGGGCGCCGACACGTGCGGAGGCACGCTGTACGTGCCCTCCAGGATGCTCTTCTTCAGTTTGGCTACCGTCTCTGCTCGAAATGGCATGGTGCCTGTCACCATAAAGTACAGAAGCACTCCCAAGGCCCAGATATCCACATAGACGCCGACGTAATGCTCGTCTCGGAAAAGTTCGGGTGCAGCGTAGGGAGGAGACCCACAGAAAGTATTCAGCATTTCACCTTTTTTACTCACTGTGCTGAATCCAAAATCGCCCACTTTCACGCAAGTATTACTGGTATAGAATACATTTTCTGCTTTCAGATCTCTATGAATAATTTGGTTTTCATGCTGTGAAAGAAGACAGGGAAAAATCATAATTCTGAAAGTAAAATACCAACACAAATGCATCAGTTGCTCTGAAATGGTGGGATGACGATGCCGTAATAACCAAATTCAGTGCAGATCAACTTACATCATGTCAGCCAACAGCAAGAGCTGCCCTGTCCTAACCTTGAGCCAAACGCAACCCACTCCCCCGCCCCCTCAAATAGACCAAAGGTTCTATTCTGTCGGCTGAGGGTTGAAGCCTGTTTCACACATGTGGATTCAGGAATTAACACCAGAAATCAGACCCAGATCTTATGAAACTACATAATGAAGCAGTAATCCTTCGTTTTTGAGGCCATATATGAGTCTTTCTGGCTGAGCAATTTCTTAACTAGGGCCAACACTGAGAAGGCTTGGAGTCCTCTGTCAACTTTCTAGCCATGCTCCTTTGGGTGGGCTCCTTTTAATTCTTTATAGAGTTTAGTAGAAGGAAGACGGCTATTATTTGGCAAGGTTCTAGCAGCAGGTCCCGCTGTGGGTTGTGAGCACATGCCCCACCCCCAACCCTTGCATTCTGGATCCAGACAGATAATCTTGAGGACCCTTGACTTGTTCAGTCCCAAGGGCTCTTGGGAAATGGTTTAATGTTACTTTTCCCCCATGGGTCTTCTGGGGTATGATTCCAAGCTTTGGAGCTTGACAACTTGGTTAATTCTGGGTCCAACTATACCAGCTATGTAAGGTGTGTATCAGTTTCTTTCTTTGTAAAATAGGATGCTGCTAACCACCTCCTAAGGCTGTTGTGAGAACTGTATGTGATGCTGCATCTGCAGTGTTCAGCATGGTCCAGGCACATAGTGAACTCACTCAATACAATTAGGATCTATGTCTGTGATTCACTCTTCCTCCTTTCAGAGACCAGAGAGCTGGGAGAAATGTCAGAGTGCGAGCTTCAGAGGACTCAGCTGGCACCCTCTACTGCTGGATTCTCTTCTGCTCTCCCACTAGATTTCTTTTCCAACTAGAATGTGGAAACTCTTTGCCCATCTGTCCTATTGCTTGGTATGGGTCTGGCTTATTCCCTGGCCCTGGGAAAGGACAGCACAGCACAGGACCGCTTAACTGACAACTGGTGGTGGTACCCTAGGTCTGAAACATCCACTCCCCTTGCAATCACGGTCTTCTATCTCACTCACTTCTTTTTCCTACCCCTCTCCCTTCTGACTGCTGTCTTGGGCCCCCAGGGTCACTGATTCCTCTGCTAATAATTTGGCCAGGAGGTCACTGACCCCAGTTCTTGCCCCACAACATCCAGGTAGAGAAGCAAACCAGAAACAGCCTCTCAACTAATATGGACTGCAGACAAGCATCTCTTTCCTGCCAAGTGGACTGAGATCTGGATAGAGAGAGTGGTCCTAACTTTTGCACTAACAGAACAGTAAAAGTGGTAGTCAGGTCTGCAAGTCACATTCCTCTTGCATGCCCAGCAATACGACCAATGCTAGAGAGGGCATAGATGAACCAATTCTTGGGGGAACTAGGGAGTGTACTTTAAGGAGTCAATTTATCGAAAGAAATAATCAGAGAACTAAAATAAGAATGACATAATCCAGTGTTAATCTGCTGAACACACAGGCAGCAAGAGGTAGAGGAGTCCACCAATGGCTGTGAGCTGATGAGAGACTCCAGAAAGTTTCAGAGAGAGACAGAACTGAGCAGGGATAGCATTTGAAATGTGAGGCATGACAAGAGCGGAAAGGGCATTCTAGACACAGAGTTAGGAAGGCAAAGCCAAGAAGCAGCAAGAAGCCAGCTCTGCGGGTAGTGGAAGAGGGGGTTGGAGAAACAGGTGTGGCCACGGAGTGGGTGATGGTTATCTTGCTGCTCAGAGGTACTCCTGCCAACTTCCACAGAAGTCAGGAGGCTGCCATGTAACGGGAGATCCCTGGGCATTGTTTCCAAGGCAGGGAACACAATCCTAGCCAGACTTCTGACGCTCACAGAAGGGACTACTGTCAGCCTTTGTAGGACTAAAACGCTGTGGGATGCTTAGATGACGGTAAACTAAAGCCCCACCCTCGTACTGTGGGCAGAATGTGAGCAAAACTCTCACTCCTGTCCCCACTCACCATGTGCTTCACGGCAGACACGATCTGGGAGAAGATGAGCTTGCTTTCTGGTTCTGAGAACTTCCCTTCAGTGCTAATCTTCCCAAAGAGCTCACCACCCCCTGCATACTCCATCACCAGGTGGAGCTTGGATAAGGTCTCCACGACTTCGTAAAGGCGGATGATGTTGGGATGGTGCAGTTTTTCCATGCTGGAGATTTCACGGGATAGTAGCCTTTGGGTTTTCTGGTCTAACTTGGTCTTGTCCAGGATCTTAATGGCCACCTTTTCTGGAAAAAAAAAACAATCAAAGTATATGTCAGATTTCCTAGGAGCATAGATATTTATAACCGGAATGGACCTAGATTAGCCCCTTTATTTTACTAGACTCGGAGGCTAAGTGGCTGTTTCCAAGCTCGGAGAGCCCATCAGCGGTAATGACAGAGAGCAATCCTTGAGTTCAACATCAGTGCTGGTCCCGTGGATCAGTGTGAGTCTACCACGCACAGGTTTTGATGCCAACTCCTGCCTCTCAAGGAGGTTTTAGTTTGATGATCTTTATCCAGTTTTCTGGATAAAGTTAAAGCTCCTTTACTGAGCTGAGAAAGCCCCTCTGGATCAGGCCCAGCTCCCTCTTCAGCCTCATAGTCCGTCACTCCTGTTCCTGGTCTCTACCTCTCTGTGCACCCTTTAGACCAACCGTTACAGAACTTTCTGTGGTTCTCTGAAAATGGACTGAACATTCCCACCTGGGACCTTCCCTCTGCCTGGATCATCTCCTCTCTCTGGCTCATCACTCCTTCCCTGTTCTTTGCTCAGTTAACTCCAGATGATCCTTCAAGGTTAGCCTCAGAACCAGCCTCTTCAGGAAGCCTTTTATGACACTTGTCCCAGAAAGATCATGATATCCAAATTCTGTGTATGCTCTGTACTGTCATCTCAGCACACTGGCCTGTAAATGTTCACTCCTCGCCTGTCTTGGCCTCCTCCCCCCTTCCCTGTGGCTGTGTTTTATCTGACTTTGTCAGGGCCTGGCACATAATGTAACAGCACAGGACACACCAGTACTGAATGTGTGTGAAGTGTTGGTGACGGCATGAGGAGACCAGCACTGCAATGGGCTGCTGGTGGGAGGATTAATTGGTACAGAGGTTCTGGACTGTAGTTTGCTATTACACATTGAGAGCCTTTTGACTCAGCCATTTCACTTTTGGCAATTAATCTTAAAGAAATAATCTCACACATGCACAAGACTGCATGTGTAAGAATATCTTTGTGATACGGGGAACAGCTTAAGCATCCAGCAAGAGAGATTGTTAAAGTAAAGGGGGGTTCGTCTCTCTCTAAAATGGTACACCATGCAGCTATCAAAATAATGATGTTGATCTTTATTTATTGACATGAAAAGATGCTCAATATAGAAGAAGTGAGGAAAAATACAAATATACATTTGCATAGAAAAAAAATCTGGCAAGATATTCACCAAAATGTTTAGAATAGTTCTTTTATCAATAGGGGGATCATGGATGGCTTTCTTTTAAATTTGTCTTGCTTGTCTGTATTTTCTAATTTTCCTACAATTAATTATACAACCTAATTAAACAATTAATATAGGTTGTGTAATAAAAAATAGTTAACATTTGAAAACTAATGCACCTCTACTCCAAAATAAAACTTCATTCGTGTTTTGGTTCAAACTGGACCAGACTTTCTCTTAGATAAGAAAGAATTTACCAGGCGAGTAAATGGGGAGAGCAGATCGCAGGGCACCTGTTTGACCTACTTTCAAAACAACTGCTTTGAAGATCTTTGCCTCTGTGATTCCCCCATGAAAACAGATGCCACTGGTTTAAAATAGCAGTGTTATTGGTATATTAAAGCAGGTCCATTAGGGCTTCTGGAATGGAAAGAGGCAGGGTTCGCTGGTGTCTGATGTGGCCACACTTGCTCTGGTGGTGGCAGTGTTAGGAGAGGAGGAGGCAAGCCATAAACAGGCAGAACCCTCCAGGCTTGTGAGAAACCGTGGAGGACGATCGACCCCAGCGGATGGACCTCCACTGCCCAGCCTCCGGACATTCTTCCTCCCCAGTGGCATCTTTTCTGCTGTTCAGTCTTTAGGATTAAGATTCCCTTCAGCTGCTTACCTGAAACAGAAACTTCTGGTTTTGTGTGTGAGTGAGCTCTTATTTTAAGAGCTAAAATAATGAATTCCATCCTTTACTCTGGCAGATTGCCTGTAGCAGAGGCCACTTCTCCTCCTCTGTCTCCCTCCAGCACTGACCCAGACTTCTGTTAAGGTGCGTGTCCCTCTCTGCTGCCCTCTCTGACCTGCAGCAACTGCTCACACCATTCCCCACATTGCAAGCACCCAAGAATCATCAGGTCATGGTGCAGGTCAGGCTGCTGTCACAAACCTCCCTTTAGCACATCCTAGTTTTATGTTATTTTTTTATGTATATATATTATATTTGAGTGGCAGCCCTCCCAGGACTGGGTCCAGAGTGAGGCAGGAGAGGAGTGGTGAGAGGGAGAGCTTCCTTGGTTCTGCACCCCACGCGCCTTGACGGCCTCACTCTAGTCCCAACCTGTGTCCTCCACTTTGTGTTAAATCAGATTGTAGGCGTGCCTCGTGACATGAATGTATAATCATATATGACATTTAAAAAGCATTGGTATTCCAAATTGTCACTAAGTGGTAGAAACTGCTGTCCCTTGAAGAACCAGGTCTCTCAATCCACTCTTTCAACAAATGCTCAGTGAGTACCTACTATGCACCAGGCGATGAAAAAGACAGACGCTATTCCCACAGTCCAGGGAGCGCGAAGGACTTTGCGAAAAGCCGTATTACAAGTGTGGTCATGTTAGGAAAGGATACAGACAGGAGGACGGAAAGGCCTCTCTGGGCGAGGACACAAGTTATGAGCAGGAGGTGAGGAGGGAGCCCCTACACTGGGCAGTGGGCAGTGAGAACGGCATGTGTTCCGGGTTTGGGCAAGACGTAACATTTGTGTTTGAGGACCTGAAAGGAGCGCACTCTGATGGGCACAGAGAAGGAGGGGAGATGGTCCCAAACCAGCCTGGAGCGGCAGGCAGGGGTCAGACAATGCAGGGCCTCCAACAGCCTTGGAGGCTGTCTTAAGAAATGTAGCCTCTATCTTTAGGGCAGTGGGAAGACATTACAAGGTTTTAAGGGAAAGTGTCATAATCTGATTTCCATTTTAGAAGGAACACTCTGGCTGCAGTGTAGGACACGATAGAAGAGGAACAAGCCCCAGAGCAGGGGCGTGGTTTAGGAGGTGATTACAGCAATCCTGAGACAGGACTCTCTTGGTAGTGGCAGGGGAGAAAGAGAGAAGTGGACAAATTTGAGAGGTAAACCTCCCCTTTCTCCAAATCTGGTGAAGAGTCTGACATGGGTCCCACCTAGTGGGCAACACACGCTTTAAAGCAGGACTTACAAATTCCAATGTCTCTAGAGGCCAGGGTGGTAATCAGGTGGCAAGTGATGCAATAGGCAGTAGTGAGGACTGTGGAGTCCTGAGGAGTACACGTCCCAGTGCAAAGGGGCAGCTGCTCCTCAACACCAGACACTTGTTACTGTCTTGCATGTAGGCTCAGTGTTGCCAAATCTGATTTTTTCAAGAGAAGCCAGACATCTGAAATTTTTTTTTTTAAGGAAGATTAGCCCTGAGCTAATGGCTGCCTATCCCCCTCTTTTTGCTGAGGAAGACTGGCCCTGAGCTAACATCTGTGCCCATCTTCCTCTACTTTATATGTGGGACACCTACCACAGCATGGCTTGCCATGCAGTGCCATGTCTGCACCCGGGATCCAACCGCTGCACCACCGGGCCAGCCCCCAGTCTATACACTTTTTTGATTGGCTTCCTTTATCAATAGAATAGTTTTGAGCACTACTCTATGTATATTTATTTATAAATTATATGCATGTGCTAATAACATATGCATTTTAAATATACATAATCATAGAAATTAAAAAGATATAATTACATATAAATATAAATGGAAATGCCAGTATTCTTCCCTCATCCCAGTGAATCATCTTGGGCACCCCCTAGGGTATGTGTACCCTACTTTGGAGACCACTCAGGGTCACCAATGACCTCCAAGTTGCTAAAGCCAGCGATCAGTTCTTAGGCTTCATCCCTCCCTCCTTGAAACACCTTTATCGTTTGGTTTCTAGGAAAACACACACTCCTGGGTTTTCTCCCACCTCTTGCCACTTCTTCTATGGCTCCTTTGCTGTGTGCTTTTCATCTCTTTGGCCTCTAAATGTTGGATCCCTGAAGGCTTAGTCCTTGGACCTCTCCTCTACAGTCACTTCCTCAGTGATTCCAGATGCGTAAATACACCTGCCTACATGACCTCTCCACTTGGTTATCTTAGTTTGGGTTCTGCCAGAAGCAGATCCTGAGGCCAGGATTCAAGTGCAAGTAGTTTATGAGGGAGGTGACCCCAGGAAATACTGGTAGAAGGATGAGGAAGTGAGAGAGGAAAGGGAAGATGGACAATAAAGCATGTGTTACTAAGCAAGTTACCAGTTAATCCTGCTAGGAGTTATCATGCCTAAGTTTTATCATGAGAAGGCTGAGAGAGCTGGGGTATTTATACATCAACTACTGCCAGTAACTAGTTGTTAGCTGCTCCTGGGGGACGTTAATTCCCCTGTATTTCTGGCCTCCCATGCATACAGGAAGAGCAGGCTCCAGTAACTAGAGAAAGCCCAGAGGCAAAGAGATGGAGAGACTGGCATTTGAAGGCCAGGCCTGCATGCACTGAAATGCTAAGGCCCAAGGAGACATGAGTGAGGCACCAACAGCCTCTGCCATATATGTGTAATAGGTGTGTAATAGGCATGTTCAATACTGTGCTCTTGATCTCCTCCCAACCCCAAATCTGCTCTTCCTATAGTCTTCTCAACTTCAGTAAATGAAGACTCTATTCTTGCCATTGTCCAGAACAAAACATTGAGTATTTGACTCTTTTCTATTATACTCCACTTTCAATCTATCAGCAAGTCCTGTTATCTCTATCTTCTAAATATAGCCAGAATCCAGCCACTTCTCAGCATTCCGTGGCTTCCTTCCTGGTCCAAGCCACCACTGTCTCTTGTCTGGATTATTGCAATGGGCTCCTAACTGATCTCTCATTTTCTGCCTTTGACCCCTTGCAGTCTATTTTCAACAGAGCAGCCAGGGTGATCCTATGAAAGGATAAGCCAGATCGTGTCATTTCTCTGCTCCCTCCGAGGGCTCCAGTTTCACTCACAG